TCAATGACTTTCAACATGAAAAGAAAATGGAGTGGTAGTGGTAGTTCAAAAAGTAAATGGGGCCAAAGACAGGCTGTGAAAAGAAACAACCTAAAGCATGTTTGCACTTGGAGGGCAAAGAAGGGATAAAAGATAGAAGCAGGTAAGATGCAGCTACAGTATAAGCAAAACAGTTTAAAGCTTTTAAAAAGTTTCTGTTGTACTAGGAAGAGAGATTTAAAGGACAAAAAAAATGGCAAGCAGAAGAAACCAGAGGAAAGCCATAACGTGTTTCATTCGTCTTCCCTTCAAAAAGTGTTCAAAATCCTATAAAGAAAGGAGGGGAGGCAAAAAATATGATGAGACTGATAAATTTTATGTGAACTGCAGACTACCCTGAAAACAGCATGTTGCTTCATTATCTGCAGTCACTCAACTGGTAAAAGCTCTTACAACCTCAGTGATCTTAAAAGATTGCAATATCCACTTGGTAACAGTAGCACATGGGGAGTCTACTTTCACATGGCTATTACTATTATTCCTAGACATTATTCTGCAAAGTGCACTCTCTACCTGTGAGTAAATCCTACAGCTGTCTTTCTGTAACAGAGATGTTATGTTATAGCAGCAATGCTCCCCTAAACCCATGGCATACTTACATTGCTGAGCCCAAGTCACCAAATACCATTATATAAGAAAACATCAAGTTTGGCGACTGGCAACCTCTGGAAATTGTATCAGCAAAAATTTCATGTTTTCTTCCACGTCAAGCTAAAAATACTGAACATCAGGCAAAAAAAAACCCTTAATGTGTTAGTGTCATTAACAAGCCCATTTTCTGATTTCACCAGAACAACTAATATTCACAATATAATTATTAATATTTTATTATGGCATTTTTTTATTAACATGATAACAGATTAAATTGCTTGGGAACTAAAGGTTGAGATACTAGTGAGCTGACGGGTAATCTATACTAATACGAGATTAGTTTAGCATGAAGAAGTATTTATTTAGCAATAAGAAGCAGCATGAAGCTCTACTGTCTGATAGAAGTTATATTTATGGCATTTAATTTTTTGTGATCCTACTCTGTATCTGCTATTTTTCCTTCCTTAGAATCAATCTATGTGGCTAGTCTAACACTCAGGTGCATTTTTATATTCTTGGCATCTCCCTAGAGTGATATTTAGAACTACAAGCCCTCCACTGAATACTTCTTGGCACAACTTTTTAAAACTACCAGTACAAGTTACCCACTTTGATGAGCAGAGAGTGAAACATATTTAACATTCTTCTGTGTTAAAATACATTTCTTATTAGTTTCTTTTATTATAAACAAACTATGCAGATTTAGTCTTAAATGCAGAGCAAATGTCTGTAACCATAAGGAAGCCACATGCACTCTTCTATCTTTAACATCTACTTTTGAAAGATAACTGCAGTGTGAAAAGAACAGAAAAGATCAGGCTGCTCATATCTAAAAGTGAGATATTTTATTTTAAATCAATTTTTAAACTTTCTTTCCAGGGAAAACTCTGGGGGTGTGTTACATTTAACAGCTTTACCTATAAATGGATAAATGCTTTGTCCTGCAAAGGAGCAGAAATCATCTTGCTAATTCGGTTTGGCAGCAAATCTATTCTTCTGAGTCCTCTGCAAGACGATCTGGTCTCTCGGCCTAGTTCCTCATGAACGTCTGTCTATATAACAGAATCAGCGCTCTACCTGGCACCATCCCTGGCAAGTACAGCCAACTACTAACAGAGCTTGGCAATTGAACTGCTCTCTTCCCCAAAAAAAGCTTCAAAATTCAAAAATAAAGTACAGAGCTTGGGGCACAGTAGGGAAACCTCAATACCACAATTAGTACTGTAATTTGGCCTATTTGTCAAGTAGAAGCAGGATTTTAACTTTTTGGCATGTCTGTTTAGAACCCTTCATAGAGACAGCTTAAAACAAACATATATATGAAGCTGGTAAGCACTCAATCTTACAGTCTTTTCCAAGAGGGATGGCACAGAGTTGAATTTGGGAGACTACAAACCTACTGCATAACAAGACTCAAATTCAGAAAAACAAAGAGAAGTACTATCCTGTGCTTCCAGCACTGTTTTTTGATGCTATACAGAAGATCACTTACTGTTTAGCAGTACACAGCCAAAGCACCTGCTGCCAACAGCACTGTTCAAAATGAGGATCATAGTGCAGTGGTATCCCCACATAACAGTAAGCATGCAAGAAAAGCCTCAGTCAAATCACAAAAGATGTGGGTTTAAGCCAAGTGAGGAGAGGGAGGAAAAATTTCCTGGCTTAAGCAAACCACAGAGATATTTTAATCAGAACACAAAAGAAGGTTGAGACACACACCAACTGACTTGGATCATATCACATCAATAATCCATGCACAGAGCCTCTGCTGAAATCAATGGGAGGCTTGTACGTAAGTGGATTGTATAATATAAACACATGCCCCTATTTAGGGCTCCACATACAAAAGAGAAAGAGCTGCTAAGAACAATTCTCTTAATTAACATTTCTTTTCCATCAAGTGATTCTAAAATAATAAATCCTTTACACAGCTCTGTTTTCATTCACAGTTTTTATCACTGTGGTAGAACAACTGACCCCATTTGACAAACACAGGAACTGAAGCATAGGACACAAATTAAACTGAAGAGCAGTGGCAGCACACAAGTGAGCTGGGAATAGCAGTTTACCTTCTGAATCACAGTTTAATGTCCTAGATATTTAGATGCTTATCTAGTTCAAGTCTCTAATTAGGGTGATTTTCTGTGCAGTCCTCAAATAATTTTGCATACTTCCTAAAGTACTTGTGCACAGAGATATGCTTATCTCCAAGTTTCCCACTCAGTAACATCTGATTTGAGGATTGCAAATGTCCTGCAGAGGTTCAAAACACTGTACTGCCCTAGTCAGACTCCTAGCCCATGAGCCTCACTACTCAGCAGCAATAAGGGATTTTAAAATTGACTGTCAAATCCACATTTTCTACATGCTCCCTATTGTTAGAAAATAAATCAATAAAAAACAGAACAGCAAACTCTCAATTCAAAATACCAATTCATTAGCTGGAAATGACCTAACTAATGCTGATGTTCCAAATTGACAGTGGTCCAGAAGAAAAAGCCAGACTGGATCCCTACTCAAGAAAAAAAAAAGAATACTCAACAACACTACAATGTAAAACACCAAATACAATGACTGCAAAAAAATTTCCAGTCTTACTAGTCCATAGTTGTCTTACAATGAAGTCAAGTAGGGAGAAACATAAACTGTACTGTAATTTGACCCCACAGAAGCAACATGTGTATTAATGAGATATGAGGTTATAAATAATACTTACACACTGCGTAAAAATCCAGCTTCACCTATAGAACCAGCCTTCAGCTAAATATAAACCGTCTCCTCCCGAGGTCCTGGGTGTTCTCCCTCCCATGAAAATCCAACTTTGAAATGCTTAACACCTTATCAAAGATTGATTCAGCAATAAGTCCACCTTCTAGTTTACATCTCACATGTGATTAAGTTCTATATTACACAGGGTTAGTGCCAACAAGCATGTTCATCTCCCTTAACTACAGATGCAAGTCCATAATACTATGAAAATAACATATTTTGAGTTGAATGAGCTTTCTGCTCTTTACAATTACAGTATTTAACTGTTTTGAATAATAACTTTTCAGGACTGTCTTGTTTTGTCTTTTCAGATTTCTTTTAAGAGTTAAGTCTATCACTGACAAAATGAGCAGAAATGCTGCTGAGAAATGGCCACTCTTCCAGACAACTGCTTGAAGAATGATTTTTCTGATTCATCATAGCTTTTTTTTTTTCAAGTTGTCAAAACAAACACCACACCCACTTGATTTCCGAGTTCTGGGTAATTATATTTAGAATTAGCAAGCACCGTGCAACTATTAATCATACAAGGTTAAGCCCTTACTTTACCTATTCAGAAATCAGCCGGTGCATTCAAACGCAGTCTGTTTAGCATTTGTTTAAGATACGGCCTCATCACTTCACTGCACCACCGCCACAGTCACAGAGAATATAGGGCAGTCCACTCAAGTCAATCCCTCTGCCCCAAGGCAGGATCAGCTAACTCCTCAGCCACCACAGCCACCATTATCGCTGACGATACACAAGAACTGGTTATTTCGGGCAGCAGCTTTACACACGTACTCACAAAACACATTATAAATTAAAGGAGGGAAGGGTGTTGCACGTCTGTAGCGCCTTAACTGGGACGGGCTCAAGCCGGTCTCCGAAAGATAAAAACGAAGAATAGAAACTCCCCCAAGACGCGAGTCAGATTTTCTAAAAGTAGTATCTGGCAACATGAACGCCTCTGCAAACAGTTCACCTTGTTTAAACTGGATGAACCACTCCGTGATTATCACCGAGCCTCCATTAAGATGACACACACAAACAGAGCCTTAGCAGAGCTTAATTACTCTGTTCGCTGTTCGCACACTGCAAGACACACACTTTCTTTCTCGTCTTTTCCCCCCCTTCCCCTCTCCCAGCAGACGAGCAACTGCCCGCACGAGAACGGCGATGCCCCGGGGCTGTCACTGCGGCGGGGGCAAAGGGAACCCCTGCCCGGCCCGGTCACCCCCTTTGTACCCGAACCCCGCCGAGCCAGAGCAAAGCTGCCTCTCCCCCCCACCTCCGCCTGACCCTTCCCGGCAGCGGGGGCGCCCGCCGCGGGGCACAGAGCCCCCATTGTGCCCGCCGGCGACAGGGCCAGCCCCGCCACGACCCTCCCCCGCTCTTGGGAGCTGCTCGGTGCTCGCTGTTAAGTTCCTCAGCGCCGGGCAGGACAAGGACACAACAACGGCGGGCAGCTCCGTGCAGAGGGAAGGGCGCGGCGAGTGTCACGGCCTCGGGCAGGCGACCAGCGACCCCTCTTCTCAGGAGCGGGGCGCCTCGGTCGCCTTCCCCGCTCCCGCCTTGGCCAGGTGAGAGGCAGCGTCTCCCGGCACAACCCCTCCACTCACCGCAGCCACCTCCACCGCCCTCTTCGTCCATGTTGAGGCCGCAAGGAGCGCGCTCCGCAACGGCCGCGGCTGAGAGAGGCCCGGAGCTCGCGCCACTCGCTCAGGGCCCGCGCCTCAGCACTCGCCGCCTCGCAGGCGCCTCTCCTCCTCCTCCGCCACCGCCGCCGCGCTGCTCTGCGCCCTCCCTCTCCGCCCAGTCCTGCCTCAGCCCCAGCGGCACCCGCCGCCTCGGCCCAGCCGCCCGCCCCTCTCATGTGACCCGCGGAGGAGCGAGGGGGGGAAAGGCAGGCCCGGCCGGCCTGCACGGCCGCTTCCGCCGCTACAGGGTCGCTGGCCACCGCTGCGCTGCCTCCTCCCCTCAGGGGGCGGCAGCTCCCTGGCCGTGCCCTGCGGCGGAGCGGGACCCGGGGGCGGGGGTTGCCTCCCTTTCGCCTTCCTGCAGCTCGTTTTCGTTGCTCCCCCCCGGCAGGTTTCGCATGGTGCGGCCTGGCAGCTTTGGGGCGCCTGAGCCGACTTCCCCGTGGACTCTGGGGGCGGGCAGGGGGCGAGGGCAGCGGGAGGAGCCTGGCCTGCGGGGCAGCGGCTGGCTAGCAGCCTGAGGGCAATAGCGGGAGGGGCTGAGGAGACCAGTCGAGTCAGTTGGGTTTCGTGTTGGTTGGGGTTGTCTCTTGGGGTCTGCGGTGGCCAGAAAATGTCTGCAGAGCTGCTGGCTTTTTTAGAGGGGTCTAAAGGGGGCAAAGAGCAGAGGGTAACAGGAAGGCGAGGGTCGAGCTGGCTTGAAGCCGTGTCGTGAACTGGGATAAGGTGGGTCGAGTCTCTAATCTGAGGCGTATGATTTTTCTGCATGTTTTCTTACAGTTACTGCTTTCTCCTTGTTCTTGGGTCTGGTCTGGTAGTGGAGGGGTGCTGGATGCATCCGCTGCAACAGGGGTCATGAAGAGCCTTGTGTAGAGGCTACTTCCCCATGTGTGGCACAGGGGTTTGCATTGGTTTGTGTTACCTGTGTTGGTAACAGAAAGGATTTGTCTGCTTACTGCCCTAGGAGTCAAAGGATGTGAGATTTCTTAAGTTCTCAGTAAAGATCGTCAGTGAGATATCATGGGAGTCCGGATATCAGCAGCCTCCAAAGTCTGTGTGAAGGTAAGCAGAAGTGTGCTGGCACAGGCCACTCTTCCTTCCTTCCTTCCTTATTTCTTCGGCAGCACCCGTCTTTTTTTTTTTTTTAACCTTTGGTGTCAAAATCTTACTCAGAAAGGAAGCTGTGAGGGGAAAGGGTCAGCCAACAGGAAAATATCGGGTTTTTCATTTTGCTTTTGTGGGCTGGCATGGGGCAGAGCATGGTCTAGGAATCTGTGTCGGAAGCGCTCACCTCTTGACACTGCTGCTAATAGGTGGTTATTACAGCCCATTTTGCTGAGAGCTGAGGTTGCGCTCTGGCTGCTGCTCTGGTGATAAAGCGTTTTACCTCATCTAGAAACCATAAATATCACAAACTTTTGAAATACTCCTCTGTATTTCCTATGTTAAATATTGTTATAAGTTTAGTAAGTGTATAAAAATATTATTACATAAAACAGAAGCATTACCTAGGTAAGGGATTTATTTTGAAATACGTGTCTATAAAGTGCAATTATGGGATGTTTTTAAAATAAGTCTGAATGCAGATGAACTGACAGTGGACTCTGAATATTTTTGCACACTGAGAAAACTTACTTTACATTAAAGGGCAATCTGGTTCATGAGAAAAATTCTGATTTCATAATTGGTCACAGATTGTTTGCTTTCATTTCATATGTTGTTTTCCACCTTTATATAAAATATATTCTTTTCTTTTGTTGTTTTTGTCAGTATCTTTTTTTTTTTCCTTCTTTCCTATATTTCAGTATAACTTAATATACTTTTGTTGGACAGAAAATTCTAGTGCAAAATGAAAGATAGCCCGATCACTAAGTTTAGTAGAAGAGAAGGGTGAGCTGCTGGTAACAGTCCACCTCGCCCTAAGTCAGTTTAAAATTCCTGTTGACTTCATGGAAGCAGTAAGTGGTTATAAAATTCCCCAAATTAATAGCAAAGATTTTATGTAAACTTCGTGGTAAAATCAGACAATTCTAAACTTGTGAGATAAGCAAATGTTCCTTATTATAACTGCATACTAACTTGATGGCACAGTTAAAATTATCAATATTTTGCATTATTGAAAATGTAGCTGACTTTGTAACTTTGAAATGTATGTCATTAAATACTCTCTCAAGGAAAGTCTCTGCTTTACAGTCCCATTTTAGTAGGAGGATTTATTAATGATACATAGTACAAAAGAGTATTGACATTACAGTGTCTTCTCAAGGCTGTATGTCTCTGAAATGATGGCAGATGTCCCTTAAAGCTGGAAATCTTCATACATATTGTGTATATTATGAAGATACTTTTGCATGGGCCTGATCTGCAAGTGTTCTAATTAAAACTATTAATTCTGAGTACAAGGTGCTTACTGGTCAAAGCTGTTTAATCTTCAAGTGAGGTGTGCAATAGAAACTTTGAAGATCAAACCTGTTACCTTCTTGTCTCATTTTCCCGTATATAAAACAGGTCTCATGTCTGGCTATAAACCTAACTAGGTCAGGAATAGATTTTTTGAAAATGCACAACATCAACTAAAGAATTACAGTCATATTTCTACATCATAGCTATAGTAGTTCTACCATAGCAGAACTATATAGTTTTGGATAATTCACGAGTAACAATGGCATTGTCATTAAATACTGGGTAGCTCCTTACCAACAAAGATGACAGGCAGCAAGACAGGTTACAGTCTCAGCAAACTTTAGGATACACTCCAATAAACTGTTTCCTACTCGTGAATAATTCTCTTACATCTACTCTCTTTTCTGAAACTTTGATCGTTCTTCTGTTTTGAAATACATATGAATTTTATTTTTCTCTATATATGAATAAGGGTTTCAATCAGCAGTTTCCTAAAGATTGCTTGGTCTTGTTTTGTTTTTCTTTCTTGCAGTCCATTCTGTAGTCATAGATCTATATTTACTACAAGTATGCTTTGCCAGTTTTGTATCCACAAATCTAACCTTCTATATTGGAAGAACTTCATAGTTTGTCATTCGTGCAAATAATAGTCTAATAGCTGGTCTGTTTAAATTATGTCTAGGAGAAAACTGGGCTTTCTCCAAAACCTGCTGTTGGCAAGGTTGGTCCTTTAATGATAAATGTGGTTATTTGCTGAATTTTCAGGTAATACACTTTGTATTTTATTGCATTTTATTTTACTTTTCCCTTTCCCTCTCTTTGGATAGTTTAGTATCTGTTTTGGTTCAGCTTCCACTAAGCAGTAATTTATCATGTCATTTTTCATTTTCAGGGGTTAGGAGATTATCTGTTATGACATTTGTCCTTACACAGAGAGCCAGTGAAGACAATTGAATCCCTTACATCACATTATCACATTTGTATGGTCTGAAAGGCTCATTGGATATTAAGCTATTTCTATGGATTTTTTGAACCAGATTCCAAACAATACTGGCTGAAAATGAAAATTACTCTTTACCCTTCCTTTTTCTTCTTTTTTTTAATAATCAAAGAATTCAAGAGTAGGAAAGGTTACCAAGTCCTTTCCTCAGCAAGAGTGGACTCCCTTTTTTCTGGATTGCTCTTTATTTGTTAATGGAAATTTGGGGTGGGGGGGAGAATCATCTTCATTGTTCATCTTTAGTTTACTTGTAGAAATAAAAAAGCCTAGTCTTACTTTGTTAAGTTTCCTCTTTCAGAAATGTAAATGTTTCAGTGATGTAAAATTCCATTGTATGATGATAGATTTCATAAATCAAAAGGATGAGCTGTGATGTTCATTACATGACTAGTGATTGGAAAGTAGATACTAACATTGTATTCAAAGACCAGAAATACAATTCTGAATTTTTTATTAATCCAGAAGGAAGTAAAGTAACTGCCATTGTGCCATCAAACCAGATGTCAGTATCCAATACAGGGAGATGGAGTAATGCACCTTACTGTCAGAAGGAGGAAAGAATCTTTGACATCTTATTTGAGGAGGTAGTCATCCTCCATGCATATATTCCCATTTCATGCAGTCAAAACATCACTAATTTGGAAGTCTGTTTTATTGACACTTTTGTTAGATTTGGCAAGAAGTTATGCTTAAGGAGAACAGTTAATCTCAAATACATGAACATCTGTACAGTCTTAAGGATACATTCTTAAAGAATATAGATCTATCTTAAAGAATAGATGTATATCTCAAGGAATATAGATACATCTTAAAGAATACAGATGCGGTGCAATGTTTTGTAAGCTAGAATTTTGTGGTTTTCTTATTACGATTTTACTGCTTGCTCACTTAGATGCTCATGTTTGTAGAAAAATGGTGCAAGCATTACATTTCCTAAGACAGTATCTTCTTGTTAGCCAGAATCACTGTCATCGATACTAGGCCATTGTATTAGAGAATACTTCTGTTTATTTTTTAAGAAGCAATGCCTAATATTTTCCAGGCAGGAAGGTCTTAGTCCATCATTATGTCTTTTCTTCATCCCTATGTTTTAATTTTTAATTTATCAGTACTTGAAAGCCTGGTATTCTTAAGCCCCTAAGGCAAACTCTGACTTCCTCTGTCTGGCAGACGGGTTTTAGCCATGTATTGTTTATTAAAATGTTTATGCTGTCACACATACTCTATTTGTCTCAGCTGGAAAAATCCTGTTTGCTGGTTGTCTTAACGGTTTCAAAAGTATTTGCACTTTCCATTTAATCCAAGAAAAAATTATATGCAGGTATTTTATATTGTTGTCGGAGACATCAAAGCTGAAGCTTAGCAAGTCAAACACCTTTTATGAATGGTGCTTTTCGTATGCATAGGAAGCTCATTCCCTTAAAATAGTCAAACCCCCCCAAAGTTAAAGATGCCCCTCTTTTAAGAATTTTGCATGAGTTTTTCTCCAGATGAACTTCTAAATCATATCCTGAATTTTATTTGCAAGCTTATTTCAAATTCTAATTCCTGACTTATTTTGAGGTTGTTGGGGTTTTTAAGACTTCTAAATGAGCTCTATCTATTCCTAATATTAAATACTACTGGTTTTGGAAGTCAGTGCTTATTTCCATTGTGTAACACTGATAGGGCCACTAATAAGTCATTGAGTAATGAACAGCAGAATGCCCCACTGAGAAAAACCAAATGCATTAAAAATTGTGGAGGTCCACCAACTCTGTAATGCTTATGATCTGAAACATACTTTGCATTAGAACTTGTTTTACCTGTATTAATTATGCATACACAGTACTAGGCAAAACCAGGATTCTTTCTAGCATGAAAGCTGTGCCTAAAATAACAGAAAAGGAGGACTTGGATTCAAACAACATAAGCTGAAAAAGATCATGAGTGGAATTTTGCATGATGCTTGAGAGAGTTTTTCTATCTCAGGAAAATGATAGAACTTGATACAAAGTAATTCTCAAGGGAGGGTGCCCTGATTAACGCCAGATTCTGTTCCCACCCTGAGAAGTAGCCACAGTCTGTGAATTCACCTCTGTTGGCTAACTCCAGCTTGGCATGGTTATGTATTACCATTTACCATTATATGTATTACCATAATACATTTACCATTACCATTAAATGTATTACCACTTACCACTTCCCAGTCTCAGCAAGACCTGGGTATTTGAAATTCCTCATTCATCCTATACTGGGAACTGTAGCAGGGCTGCAAACCATAACACAAGTCCTGCTCTAGCTGCATGCATATATAGCAGAAGTTGAAGGATTATTGTAGAAGTGCTAATAGCAGGGGAGGCCTCTACAGTTCCCTCCTCCTCTCTGCCCAGAGAAGAACTCTTAAACAATTCCACAGCGTATGAGGGCTGGCATCCCATGGTACATGTGACAGCCAAGTGACAAGCTGGACGTGACATACAGTGTTAGAAGGGTTAGACCAGGTGCTCTTGTTGATTCACCAGTGAGCATCTGAAATGCAATTGCATATCTCCACATGAGCTGGCTCAGATCTTGCTGCTGGCTACTCAGCAGTGCACAAATCTGGGTTTAATAAATATGGAACCATAAAATTAGACAGGAGCAGGAACAGGTGACTAATGATTGTGACTTTCAATGCCCTCTCATCTATTCATGCGACCATTTGTGAAGCCATGCTGTAAATCAGATTACTCAGTCCAGCTTTTAAAAGTTCTGCCTAAACCGGTCATTTTTAACCAGAATTATTCCATTGATTAAGTTAAAGCTCTGGTACCACGAACAATTGCATTGGCACAATTACAGCATTGGTAGACTGGGACACGCAGATGGTGTGGAAAGAAGGAGGGCAAGCTGCTGGATAGTTATCTTGCCAGTGTGGGCAATATCCCTGTATAATTCTAACCACTGACTCACCATCAATTTCAATTTCTGACCCCTGATGCTCAGCCTTTCTCAAACTATGCCTATAGTCAAACTTACATGCTTGTTAATGTCTCATCTGTAGTGCTAAAACACCTAATGGTAATAAATTGATCATGATCAAATTCCTGTCAAGATTAGCCAGCTATGAGTTACAGTGTTTAGACAAAGCTTTATCCTAGCTTTATACCTGCAACATGAAGACAAATCTTACCAACTCTAATGTGAAATCATCAGGAGTAAACCTATATCCACTCCCTGTTTTGTGAGGGTTTGGGGTTTTAAGTAACTCTATAATGGTGGGTTGAGTTTGTACGAAGAATTTTGTGCCATGTTACCATCCAAGACCTAAATTTATTCTACCATGAAATACAGCAGTTGTATACTGGTGAGAATATGCCTTCAGCTTCTCTTGTAGGTTACTTTTGAATACATAGCTCCTGTTGAGTTCAGACGAAAAGGGGAGGCGATTCTTTGTTAAAAGACATTGTGTCACATTTTAAATTCTTATTGTCTCTAACAAAGAAAGGATCCTATTTATTTCAACTGCTGCAATTAGAAAGAAACATGAGGCAGAAAAACATCACTTAAATCCTTCCCCTTTTATGGCTACACATACTATTTTACTCCTTTCATATCCTCATGGATGTAAGTATAATCCCCTACATTTCTCTACCAAAACAAAAAGCTCTTGGTATTTTCTTGAGATAATTGAAATGTACTTTCAATTTAAAAAGCAGATCTTCACCTTAATTGTCTTTCTCCTGCTGTGTTTCCCCTTATAGTCTTAAAGACAGAAAAACTGTCTCTAAGCACGCGAATATGTTAAGCAAGAGAGAGGCAAAGTTAAAACTTGGCAAGCACTAAAACAAAGAAATTTTCCAAGGAAATGGAGGAGACAGGTCAAATTAATTCCTTATGTAACTCCATTTACCTCAGTGCAGTTACATGAAGGATTAACTTGGTACCTTATGCCTCTGTGGTCAGAAAAGGATTTCTGTGATCTTAATCAGCAAGTATAAAATAATCATTCTTAAGAAACAAAATTGTAATTTAAGTATGATAGAACTGTCCTTGCTATTTTTAGACCATTAATATAGTTGTAAAAGAACAATAGGTCTACAGAACAATGACAAAAATGTCTTCATAAAAAGATTAATACATAATGATTTGCAGCTTACATCCTTAGTAAGTTTTTTGTGGGAAAGAGGAATTCATAAGAGACTGCTAAAATGGGCAGTGACATCAGCGACAGCTTCTTTTTCTTGTAAGTTCCAAAAGCTTTTCTCCAGTTTGCTGAATCAACTTCAAGTTTTTTCCTCTGATCTCGTTCTCCTCCCTGACCACTCCTAATTCAGTGCACCTTTTCCTTAATTTTCTCTGGGTCCAGCTGCATATACAGGGATCTCTCTAGCTTCTCCCTGCTGAGTTTTCTAGGTTTTTTTTCTCAGGCAGAAATATTCAACCTCTTGAGACAAATAAAAGAGAGATGTTTGGATTCCACCGTAATTTCTTTTTAGATTTTAAATTTCAATATGCTTAAATTTAAGATGCTTTAAAATAACATTTTTTCACTGTGAGAACCCAGCCTCCATGTGTCAATCTGTAGTACTCAAATATAGCTGTATGCAGAGATAATTTCCATTTTGATGTTGTTACGAAACATCAACCCCTGCCTCCTCACCCCACTCCCAAATTCACAAAATGCTTTTATATCAATATGTTAAGATCTTTTAATACTGTAATATAAAAGCATCCATATAGTATATTATTTCAATGAAATTGAAGTAAGCAGTGTGACTTTTTTATCTTTGCCAACTTGCAACTATCAGTTTTAATACTGAGGAAAGGATCTGTGTATACATGCGTATAAAAGATGTGAAAATACAAAGGTATTTATTTAAAACAGACAAAACCAGGAAGATGATAGAATATCAGAAGGAAGTGACCTCCGATATAAAAACTTTTGCTTTGTATAGCAGAATTTATCACTGAAAGCTAAGGTTGGCAAATTGCCATGCTTGGGTAAAGCAAGAAATGTAATGTAAAATAAAAAAAAATGACTTAGTGTACAAAATACAATGGAAGCATTTGAAACACTAATGTCCTAGAAAGTAATTTAGTTAAATGTTTATGTGTATCTTTAAAAGCTTCATTATATTTTCAAATAGCAGAAATCTCAGTTGTACAGATGCATGCTGTCCTCTTCTGAATCAGGTGTGCTATTCAGCAGGCTGTAGGAAATTTCCAAATACCCATAATTAAGCAAAGATGGTGGAGATAATTTTGAAATCAAAACTATTAAAGCATATTTTATATAAAAATGATTCACATACTGCACAATTTTAATTCACAAAGCTACTCAAGTAAGTGTGGATTGCTCGGTATTTAAATAGAATTATCCATTTCCTTTGTTTGTGGGGAAAAATTGAAAGCCTTAGGAAACAGAGTACATTTACATCTGACAGACTTTTCACATAAAAGTTTTTGAAACCTGCTGTTGACTGAGAGCACTGAAAAAGCATGAGAATGTGGGATATTTAGTTCAGTTATTGTACCAGCTGAGAAAGAATGAATGAATTCTTACCTGTAAGGATTATTCCTCCTCTCTGGCCTGGTAAGACCTGCATTCTGGTATTCCTGCTAGAAGAAAAACCATTTCAGTAGAAGATGGATAATGAGCACAGCCAAATTCTCACGATTAACGAAATCATGCCCTTGCTCTTTATTCCCATCTGTAAAAGTTTTCCAGAACTCAGCGTGTATGGAAAACTCCAAACCTGAAAAACAAGATGGCTGATAACTACAATTAAACAAACAGATAATTTTTTCAACATCTTCATCACATTTGCAAGATAAGTAGACTGTTATCTGAGTACTATCTATATTCTTAAATAATGTCTCCTTCTCTCACAGTAAAAACCTTTTCCAACTTGTTGACAAGAGTGTTTGTCTCCTCCACAGATTAAATCATTATAGAATCATAGAACAGTTAAGGTTGGAAAAGACCTTAAGGTTATCTAGTTCTAGCTCCCCTGCCATGGGCAGGAACGCCTTCATGAAGTATTTATAGGCATTTCTTATATTTCAATTTTTTTGTGTCCTGTCTGCTTCTACAGAATTTCTAGATTTGCTCTTCATGAAGAACAGGATCCTGACAGTTCTTTTTCTAGCTGCTGCTTTTTCCTCAAACAGTCTGGACTTTCTGCATGATTGGTACAAAGCTCTCCTTTCTATAAACGTGGTATTTAGTTCTGTTTTAGTAAAGCTGAGATATACAGAGAGTTAAGAGAGAAATTCTTCATGTTCTTCAGCTAAAATAACGAGAGCCTGTCTTGAAACTTCTAGAAAGGAGAGAATATTGTCTTTATTAAATTATGAAACTGCAAGTAATGACAGATAAATACAGATAAAGCAGTCATCTTAGAAATCCTAACTGGTAATCAATTAAGATGTTATTCTAGAATGCTCATCTTAGGCAATGGGAACAAGTAAAGCGGTATGTTTATCACACTGGGATTTTGATTGATTCTATTAATTCTAGAATCATAGAACAGAAAAGAAAGGTATGCTTTTACCATGCTTAATGTAGCACTTGGGGATGTGTTTTCATTCTTTGCTACCAGACTTTTTATCATCTATGGAAAACACTTAAGCAGAAAGTTATTCTAAGCAAGCAAAGATATTCATGCATGTGTGTATATATATATGTACATATTTATATGTGGTTATATACAGGCAGTCAGAAAACTACAATTTCATATTTTATGCTAATGAAATGGTCTTTTATCTCTAGATCACAGGATTAGATGTATGCAAGGAGTATTCTTAGCTAAAGACTCTCTGAATGAAGGCTGCTATAAAGCTGGTGTGGATATACTGCATTGGTTTCAGTCAGCTTTGCACAGGGGCAAAACTGTCCTATCACATTCAGTAACTGGTTAAATAATGAGAAATCTTTTTTTATTTCCTTACAGAGCCCATTAGCAAAAAATTTAGATGCAGACTCCACCTCTGAGTTTGGAGTCTGCCTGATTAAAATAATTTCTCCTCCCTTTCTGATAACAACCCGCAATTGTTTAACACTCCTGTAGTACTTCTTTAATAAAGCCACTGATAATAACAGCAAATTTACCAAAAGGTTAATGTAAAATTTTCCCTGAATTACTGAATTTACTGTTACTTGGGGTGTCTTCTCTTATAAGTGGAAATTGCAAAGAGGCACCCTATTAGTTCCCTGGCAATGTGTATGTCAGTCACAACACCCTTTAGAAAAACGGGGAGAAATTGGCTGTGGATTCTTCTGTACAATAACAAGAAATTATTACAACATAACAATGTTTGTCAGATTAATTTGAAAGCAGAATGTGTTATGATTTAAACTGTGAAAATGAATTCTGAAAATACTTCTTTATGTCCTTTTCTTCTAAGAGCCTAATTTCTTGGAAGGACTTCCTAATCAGTGTAATCTGGTGTGACTTCATTAACTCATCATTTCAAGTAGATAGTCTAATATTTTTTTCTTGATCAGTAGTAGTAGATAAAAATACTAAACTTCTATTTCTTTAACTGCAGCACCAATGTCAAGCATGTGAAGTTAAACACAGTAATACAAAAGCCAGCATACTGCAGGTGAACAGTGTGTACTCCAGAAACTAAAAAAAAGGAAGCTTAAATCTCCAGGACAAACCAGTTACACTTACTTTGCAGAAAAATCTGTAACCACCTTCTTAACAATGACTTTGTGCAGTTCATTTGAAAATATCTAAGAATAAAAAGCAATACTGACTAAAGCTATGTAAAAATCCTCAGCAAAAGCTGTTATCAACTTAATCATTCAAAAAAAGTAACAAATTTATCCTTTTACAAGCTGCATTCCTGGGAGTTTTCTGTGGTTTAGAAGACCATCCAGTATGCTGTAACTTTGGACATTGTGTGGTTTATTTTTATAGTTCTCAGTTAGTAAATGCTGACTCTTTGTTTCAAAATAATACACTTAAGATTTTAAGATTGTTTTTTTGATGAGTACAATATTTGGAAATTATGCAATGAATTTCAAAGCACTTCAGGAACATGATATTGTCTCTGAATTGCTGCAAAGATTCACATTGACTCTACTATCAGTAGGCCTGGACTTTTAACTTGGCCTAAATTTAAGGATATTCCCATAAACACACGAGTCCAGACCTTGTAGTTTGGTTCATATGCAGATATCCTCATGCTTACAGAGCTCTGATTAAGTCAGCAAGGCTAGACATCAGCACTGATCTTGTGTGATTGGATTACTGGGTTGAAGCTGCAATTTGTCCTACTGAAACCACTTCGTTACTTACACAGTTAAATCCTACTGTCAGATTTCTTATTGATTACACTTTCTGAATAAAAAAAAAAAAGGAAACCCCAAAACCCCACAGAAACCTTGCTTGCTTTCTCCACCTTTTCAATGGACTAGTACACTGTCTGGTTCTGCCTTACCAAGTTTACGTAGGACTGGAAGGACAACAACTCTGGCGAAAAATAGTAAAAGTATTATTTTCCTTTTCTGTGAAACAGATGTAAAATACTTGTGATTCTTTATTTCCTGTGAGCCCATTTCCAGGCCTTATTTAATGCCACCACTTTGTGGGATCAGAGATATTTGACAGAGTTCCTATTATAAAGGAAAATCAGATCCTGTTTATGTTGCTTCTTGTCTCAAGCTGTAATTCACATCTTCTCATGTTTCTGGCAAAATGATTTATCAAAATTAAACCAGAATATGTTCAAAGCACTTTTCTTTTTTACTTGGTTGGTCGGTCTTTTTTATGTTGGGTTGAGAAGAGTCAGCTTGGGTATGTCACTGTCTATCACAGCTAGAATATCTGCTAGGAAGCAGAAGTGCAGTTCCCTCTGAGGCAGATCAACTGCTGGATTTAACATGTGAGTAACAAAAATCTACCAGGGGTATTTTCACTGATAAAAGCATTCTTTTATAGTAACTATAGTAACAATAGCAATAAAGAAAATGGAATCAAACCTTTGGACAGTGCTGTTTCAATAAGGGCCTTCAGAAAAAGCACTTTCTATGTGAGGAAAGAGAAACTGCTAAATAGTCCGTTCAGGAACAGCAACAATGCCTAATGGATACTTTATGAAAATATATTAGAATTAACTGTAAAGTAGCAAAGATTGAGGAACTGTCTGTAACAAAACATCCAGTGATGAAAATCTCAACAGCCTTCTAGGCTGCTGGTATTGGCAAGTAGTTCAGCTAAACAAAAGGAAATCAGAAGTTACAGTTACAAACTGAACCAGTGATTATGAACCAGTGAGAAAATGTGAGGAAGATCTCTGAAAATGATGTTTGACAGTGACAACAGAGACCAGACAGCTTTTATTTTGACCAACAGATTGTTGGGAAAACAAACTGTAGAGCAAAGTGAAGTACTTGAAACAGGCTCCACTCTGTACAGATGTTCTCACTCAGAAAGCAGCTAGAGGGACCGGAAGATAAACGAAGGCTGTCCAACTTTGAAAAAGGTCTGGATTTTCATTCTGTCTTAATAAGTAAATACAGTTTTTGTGGTAGTCCGATTTTCAGCCTGATAGAAAATTCAACAGCTACAGACATGACCTAAAATGACAGATAACTGAAAATGTACAAGCAAGACCTTAGAAAGGTGCTATACAATATCATAAAAATATTTTTTGTTTTAATCTTAAATGCTTTTATGTCAAAGGAGGGGAGCAAAGACCAGAAATTGGAAACGTTGTTAGTATTCTAACTCTGGAGCAGGTCATACATGCTTGCAGGCAGCGTGCAATACTTGGAATGCAAGGCTAAGATCTGAAAGGCAATTCAGGAACCCCTCCTGCAGAAAACATTTTTTATTATTGTTATAGAAAGCAAGACAGGATTACTGAGCTCAGAAGGGTTATTTGTGGATAACTTCCAGCTGAAGTGATAAAGGGCTCCAGCCACTAGCCAAAAAATAAAAAAGAGCATCAAAAACATTCTGCTTGTCATTGCTGCTGGCTTTTTGTTCAATGAGGTGAGCATTTGTCTTGTGTTGGTTTTGGTCCTCTGCCCTTGGCGATACTTTTAACAATGAATAATACTTGAAAGAATTCCAAAATGTGTGGGCTTTTTCTTTTTCCCTTTGAACTTTGAGCTTAAAGATAAATAAAGGAGTAATTTGGTATGTCTAGAAAATATTTGTGATAACAAATAGATGTAGTGGTCCCTAATGGTCAGGAAACTAACAACGTGCTTTTTACAAGCACACCACAGCCCTTGATAACAAGAACCCCACCTAATATTTTATTTTTTAATTGAAGGTGAAGCACTGTACCTACTTTTAAAAAATCATCTCCTTAGAAAATGTGAAATGTGATCATCTTCAGCAGAACCTTTGATATTTGTGTTTAGCTAGAGGATTTTTTTGTTTTTTTAACTTTTAAGCTGCTCTTTTATCTGCCAGAAAAGGCAAGATCTAAGAAACACACTGAAGAGGAGATGTTTGTGATGCTAAAAGGTTCCTCTGGCAGTCTCAGACTTGCATAGAGGAAATTTGGGCTCCTGTACAGATGAGCTGCTCTCATAGAATCCAGTAGTATGAGATAAACAGTCTACCACAAAGTCATAGGCCACCACCTTGAATCTGACTTCAAAGTACTTCAGATCCTAAGCAGAAGAAATTTGGATATGCACGTCATAGGCTGTCTATTCCTGACTTTACAGAAGTATACTGAGTTCCTTGAAGCTCCCCATGTACTGCAGGCATCATGTCCATTTATATAAATACACATAAAACGACTGATAAACCATCTGAAAGTGATGACAACATGAGTGATTAAGACTACATCACATCACTGTCAGAGTAGGGTGGCTGGAACATCATGGGCAGCCAAAGAGATTAGAAACCATTACTTCAGTATGTACCCTGCAAATTCCAGAAGCGATGAGGAATCTAAAGTGAGAATCTACAGCAGAGAGAGCACTGATAGCACTTTCTTAACTGTGAATGTCTAACCACATGCTGAAACTTCACAGACCTTACTGGATGATTACACTCTTTTTTCCTCCTGCCCTTCCCCCCCCCTTCTTTTTTTCCTTTCAAATGCTTGTTCTGAGGGAAAGATGCTCTCAGTATTCATCATTAGGAAATGTAGACATGTTCATTTTGTACTCAAGGTATCTATCAGTCTTCAGGATTGTCAATACCACTTCTTTTCAGAATAAATCCAGCACATACCAATAATATACTTCCTCAAAATATAACACAGCATCAAGGGATGCTGAGATCAAACACAAACTATAAGTTCATTATGTCTTTTGAGTCTAAAATCCAAAAGTCACCTGACAGCAATTTTCAGAAGAAAAATCTGAAAAGTGAGGGGTTTCAGTTTTGTTTTTAGTATAGTTTTTTTAATGCTCATCATTAAGCAGAGGATACATGTATATTCCATTCCTTTAATTTGAATATTTTATTCAGCAAAACCAAGGTCTGGCATATCTGTTAATACTAAGGTAGTTTTAAACCTGAAGAGAAACACCCAGGATGTTACCCTCACCTAAGAGAGTTGCAATTCTATGTATTTAGCATGGCTTGCTTTCCCCTTCTAAAGTGAAACTCTGTTACAAGATCAGAGATAGTTAGGAAATACCTTGGAATTAGATTGAATGTGTCTGGATTAAGGTGCGTAACTAAAAAACATGCAAGAAGAATGCCTATGAAGAATCCTGGGGGCTAACATGATTAAGCTAGCCTAGATGATGCATGTCCAAGGCCAAGCAAAAGACATTTAGCCCTTTTATTCTCACCCAGGTTTTAAATTTGGTTGGTATTCAGTAAACACACATCTCCCAAATTGCATCCCTGAAAAAGCCACTCACTGACATCATATTGTCAGAAACATGATCTTTTTAAGTAGAATCTAGAATTTATAAACTGAAAAAATTGAATGAGAAGCAGCAAAACTAGCTCTGTTGTTGACCACAGACAAAAGATCATTTTTAAAAATACTTTTATTTCTGTTTTTAAATAGCTTGATAAAACTCATCAATTGGTACTCAAGAGTTCAACTGTAAACAGTTACATTACCACTGTGTATAGATTTTGCACATTAATCTATTTGCAGCGACAATCCATAAGACAAGTCAAAGTCAGCATATTTATAAACTGAAATGCACTGTGCTAAGAAAAAACAATGCCTTTAACTGAAAATATATAAAAGACTGATGTTTGACTCCCTCCTGTGGTGTAAGCGAGCAGCATCACCATTAACAGCTTCTGGAAGCTTAGGTAGCTCTCTGTATTATTCAAAAGTCTGTATTCACCTCATTAGAACAGATTTCAAGTTTACTATGGAAACTCCTCTCACAAGTTAAAAAGTGTTACAGTAAATTTCTAAAATACATACAAAGTTGTAAACATCTTTCTCTGGAACAAACAAAAATGGTTTGTGCCAGCCTCCTCCCATCTCCCACACTGCGATAAAAAAAAAAAAAAAAAACAGGGCCAAAAACCAAGGCCATAGACTAAAATTGTTGTGCATGGGTAACATCATAGCTTACAGGAAGAATTAAGGGTCAGCATTTAAAATTAGTGTTAGTCACCAGCAGGTAGCAAAACCCATTTTCAGGGAAGTTCATGGAACACTCAAAGTGATGAATCAGGCACTAAGCATTAGATTTACCTACTTTTAAGAACAAAAGCTTAACTTACATCTAGGTATTTTTATATTGGATAATACGCAGATTTGACTACAGACAGAAACTTAACACCAATACTGTCACAAGTTTGGGGTTTAACCATTTTTTGCTATGGGGTTTATACAAATCTTCCACAAAGAAAGAAAAAGAAAGATTTGTGAAACAGACTATAATATTGAGATCACATAAATAAACTTCATCTTTTCAAGGCAGATATTCTTTCTGGATGTCCCTCTGGCCATTTTCTGATTTGTTAGCTTTTAAATTTAGTTCATTGTGAACAATGAAATAACCATCTGCTTGGTCTGGATCTTTTATCACCAGTTCCAGAAAGACTAAGATAATTGAGATTTTGGAATGCAATACAGGACTAATTTCAAAGTACACAACAGCAGGATTTACTTAGTGCAGGGTGGTAAAGGATAGCATTATTCTACAACTTCTGTATTATTCTTGTTTTCACAGTAGCAGCAGATTGATATCTATGTTCTAGTGTATTTGAGCTGATCATAAATATTAGTATTTTCAGATGCAGCAAGTTGTTTATCTGACATCGAATACTATTGAATGCAGCTTTTCCTTGAGGACTGGAGGCTTTGCAATTTGAGATGTCAAAAGTGGATTAATCACAAACATTTAAAAAAAAACCCAATAGTTTATTTTTATCAGTTATTGACTGTGCATCACAGAAACAAGTGGCATAACACATTTTATTCTATGCACTCTTAGAAAAATAAAGTTTCAAAATACTAAGAATGTTTGTGAATTTTTTAGAAAGATACACCAATAATTAAAAAACGAGGAGTATTGAAGCTAGTGTAACTTGTTTAAGCTTTGACCTCAATGTATTTGATAAGCCCCAAATTCTAGCTGCAGTTTTCAGCTGACAGAGGTACTACAAATTCAAATTAAATATTAGATTTTAATCAAAGAAGCAGTTTGGAAGGGAAAAAGCAGAAATGTCACATTGACCACCTATTGCTCGGCCCGATGTACCACTTTTCATACACCCTAATGACGGACTACAGGTACTTACATCTCTATGTGATTTCTGTCAATTTGTTATGCATAATTAATTACAGGGAAGTCTTTCTGCAATGGAATAGCGTAGCAATATATGCTTATGCTGAGAAATTATGGGGGAGGAAGAGAAGGAAAATACACATAAGAACAGACCATAAGACAAAATGAATAACTTGACAGTAAGATGGTATATTAGGAGAGTCCGATGTGCTTGCTTCTTCCAAAAATTCAGTGTGCATGCCTAAAATGAGGGGCAAGGGAGGAGCAAATGAGAAAGAAAGCAAACTTTGGCCAAGTTTAAGAAAGTGCAGTTTTTACAGTCCTTAAAAACCAAACAAAACAACAAAAATACCCCCCAAAAACCCAAACAACAAAAACCCAACACTGAAAAAGCAAAAGGCTAACAACTGTCTACAGATAAAACTGTCTCATACTGCATGACAATGCACACTATAATTTCTAAGATTGCACTAGCTAATATCACACCAAGTACACCACCATCTCTACTTCATTTTGCATTGTAATGTCAGAAAGTAAAAAAGCATTTGCATAAGCATTCCAACACCATACTCTGATAAAACACTTTTTATCTACATGCAGAGCTCTGTGTGCACACATTTAAAAGTATATTTTCTTTTTCAAAGCAGTACACCATATAGTAAGTTGTCACACAAGTGTACATTTATGGGAAACTACTAGGCAATTCTCTAAATACTGGATATTTTCTTACTTAATTTGTTTTCTAATGCCAGAAATAGAACACTGCTATGCAGTGCAGGAAAAATCTGGACACTGATACATATTTTAGAAAGTATGAGTTGTTTAGTAGAGCCCTAACATTTTGCTTAGAAATACCTCTTTCCAACACCAACAGTAGAGCAAGACAAGAGGGGAACTGGAAATACGAAGGCAACTCCCGGTTCAGTATAAAGGTCCTTTACCCCTCCTAAAAATGTTATTCTTCTGTACTGTAACAATCATCCAAGACAGTCTAACAGCACACTTCCTCAGAAAGCTTTCCACATCTCACTAATTGAAGCTATGACGGTCCATACAAACTGGTTCTTAACTGAGACACCTTCCATCTTTTGAGATGAGTTAATATTAAAACACTTTTAGGAAGAGAACAGTGGCCTAAACCATACAGCATTTGACTTATGTATAGTTTCAAAGGACTGCCATCCTGCTGGTTCACTATTCTCCCCCCAGACAGTAAAACCCATTTGAGTGCTGTCACCACCAGTCCAACAGCTCTATTAGTGCAAGAACAGTGCTTTCAATTTATGGCCTCCCAAAGCTTAAAGTGCAGTATATTATCTGAGATTTTAACCTACCAAACTATACTTGAATTTCAGACGGAATGTTCAAGTTAGAAAGTTACCTTTTAGGTTTTAAGCAATAAAATTCAAGGCAAAGTACATAAACTATCTTAAAATGGATTAAATCCACTCACCTAAGGCGTATTCTTTATAACTTATGTTTAATATACATACAATACATCCAAAAAAATATCAATCATTTTGCTTAGCTGTACTGTATCTGTATTAAAGTAGCCCTGTAGTAAGTGATTAAAGGCCACTCAAAGCAAATTTGGCTTAAAACAGAATTGTATTAGTTGGACTGTGATAACGCAATGGTTCAACGTTCCAAGATCCTCTCCTGCACAGCTTGTCATTGATAGAGACAACCCTTCACACCCTGCTGTACATGTGTTTAAGTTCTAATTTACATGTAGTTTTGTTCCAGCCGCCCCTTTAAAATCAGCACAAAGAATAGGGGTATTAAATGCTGGATTCATGCTTTCACACCTTTAGCTACTCCTCTTGCCTGTTAATCTGACAATATCACCACCAAGTTTATGTACAGTAGAGCACAGAATCTTCCAGGCCAAACCATTCAGCTGAACAAATAAGGTCTTCGGTAACAATTACAGGTACAGCCATGCTAGTCAGTTATTTATATAGCACAGCACTCAGTTGTGGATCCAGGACTGTGTTTATATGCAACTTAAAAAAAGCTGACTATATGGGAAAATGATATTTCTTTACCTGTATAGCTAGTTCTAGAGATCAGGATGCAATTGCACAATGTTTTCTTTATCAATCAACCCATAGTAAACAGGCTCCAACCCCTCACCACCTTCATTTCTCTACTGTCAGCTCTGCCAAGTGTTTTTTTGTTATCTGTTGTATGCAGACAACAGCTTAACACTGTAAGTCAAATAAGCCAGACTTTTGGACGAATGTCTTTGTTTCTGGGGTTTCAGATCCACATTGCTTCAGCAATCCTGATCTACAAACACTCATGTTAATAGCACTGCAAGGATGATAAGTTGCAGCAGTGGAGATAGGAGTGAATAGTATGAACGGCTTGACTAATAGGAAACTTGCTGTCAAAATAATTACTTACAATATGTAATCCATTATTATTTTGAGGTTTTTGGTAATTTTGCAACAGGTAATGATGAAGTTAAGTCTAGAAGTTAAACAATTAATAAGAGTATACACCAGGGAAAAAGTTACTTTTAAATTAAGATAAATGGCTTCTTATCTCTTCTAACATCCAGATGAAAAGCCAACTGATGGTGACAATTAAAACATAACATATCATTTAACATAAGAAGTAGCATACCTTACTTTCAGGACTCAAAAAATTCCAACATTTCTCTTCATAACACTCATAACCATCATCTCTTCTTCATCATCAAGGACTCAGTGTGCAAACACCACATTAGAAACCCTACTGGCTTTCCAGGTGAATTCAGTTCAAAATAAATGCAACATCACTTACTCTCTTTCCAAAAGGAAGGAAACAAGCTAGCTAGCAAAAAGGATACTTGGTGTGTGAATCACTGGCATGACTTTACCCTGCATTAAGTCCTTACTTTTAACTCAGGAGTGAAGAGTGAGCTGAAAATGCATCCTAACCATATCAAACCCTCCCTCTTTAGGTAAGCCCACCTACACCAACTCTTTTATTGAGAATTTTGGAAACAGAGTTCAAACTCTGACCTACTGCACAATGAACTTCTCCAACTACATGCTGGTGGAAGCCTATTCCCGCAATTCCTTTTCACAAGCTGCTCTATTGATTCCAACATTCTTTCTCCATTCTTTGCCAAACCCCGTTGTCGGAAGTTTGTCCCAAAGCCAAAGTCAACAGGCCCAGAAATTATTACTGTGCTTCAGTGATAACAATCACTTTTTCAAGGAAAGAAAACATTCTTTTAAAAAGTTGTTTATAGCATCTATTGTCACGCAATAAAACTCATGAGATAGTTTAAATTAGAGCAGTACCATCCTTGAAAAGGAACACTGATGAGAATTATACTGTGTTGGAGATCACCACACCCCCCCCCAACAGCTTTCCAGTTTAAAGTATTTTAAGGACTGGTACATTAGTTAGTGCTGGATTCAGAGAAGGAATTTAATTCTACCAGAAACAGTTTCAGTCAAAATGGTTGTAAATAGCAGCCAGAATACTCTGCTAATACAAACCCTAAAGAAAACAAAGGATCTGTGGTAAACAATCAGATTGGGTTCTAGTCTAGTGTTAATGGCAGACCTGCAGAAGTCACAAAGAGTTTTGAGATTAACAAGTTCTTTCCACTCAGATGCAGATATTCCTTACCAAAAAAAAAAAAGTCCCTATTTTTGCAACAGCCAGTTTTACTAGCAATTACACAATATAATTTTTACTTTAGATACTTCTCACTGAAACTCACTGTAACCTTGTCTCCGTTAGTTTTCTATTAATGTTAAAAATAGTAACTATTAAAATCTAGTACTTTTTTACCTTCACTACTGCATACCGGAGACCTGCTAGTGCAAAAGCTAGCACCCAAATTACTAGCTGTACGATGTGAATATTGTTAGTCACATATTGTATATTTGAAAGCATTTGCTTGTATCCAAGTATTTGCTCTGAAGATACAAGGTTTAAGTAACAAAGGAAAAAACACAGTTTCTCGTTGTTTAGAAGTCCCATAACATATTCATTCAGTGGGGCAAGTTGGATAGAACAGAGATCAGGAATTCCACCAAGACCGAACTCTTTAAGAAATCCAAGCTGCAATTCATTATCTTTGCTACTGCTTATTTCTAATTCCAGAAACTGCACATTTTTATTAGACTGCAAATTTCCCAGCCAGAAGTGTGCAAAACATACAAAGTTCTCTCCTGGACAGCATGACCCGAAGTCTCCAGCAAAACTACAGGCTTCCTCAAACCAGCCTGGTACTGAAATATTGTTACTATCGAGGCTGTCTTTCCCAGAAGAAAAAAACAGATGAAATGAATCCTTCCAAGGAGCAGCTGCACTTGAGTTCCTCCCTGCTGATTCACTCCGACCTAGAGGCATTTCCTTGCCAGTAGAAAGCAGAGGTATAGTGTTGAAGAGAGAACAATTCCTGGTGTTAAAATAAAGTAACAACTGTAAACTGCTACTGGGATTTTGAGAACTGTTCAACATGGAATGCACAAGTGTCAGGTGAAGCGCTGCCTTGTGATGACCTCGGCCATTGTAATGAACTCGTTTCTGGTGTAAGTCTTCTTTCTTCATAGTCCTAGAGAAGACGAGCACAGCTTTGCTGTCTCACGACAGGCTGAACTTGGAAGAGTGTGACTGTCTCTAGTTGCAAGCAGCACACAAAGTCACAAGTCAGTGGATCTCAATATGGACCTAAAGAGAAAGAATGCAGGAAGTTATTACACCAATATCCCAGTTTTTTTGGTGCCCAGTACGTGGAAAAATAATAATTAAAAAAAAATTAATATAAAGAAAATAGCAGCTACAAAGTAACAGTAGCTCAAACAGGAGTCTTCCTACATGCTGCTTGGGCACATCCAGAGGGCTGGGAAGCATACCCAAATACAAACTTTATTCTGTAGTTTCAGTTTTATCTGCTACAAACTCTCTTTTGGTGACAGGCATCCAAGTGAGTCAGCAAATGAGCAGCTGGAGAGATTCGCTCTGTAACAGTAGCACTTTACTCCACCAGCAGAAAGGCAGACTGTAACTGATTAGAGGGGTAACATTAAAGGCCAGTATTAAAACAATCTTTTTGCAAGCTGCAGTCAGACACACAACACTGGAACCAAACAAGACACCATGCACAGCTTCCCAAAAGAACTGGTCAGACTGGCTGTACCGGCACAGTCAGAGGGTATTAGCTCGATTGTAGACAAATGCCAAGCCAATGTCCTTACAGGAGAACTACTAGGTACCAGATAGCAAGCAAAGGCTTGTTCAGCCATCCAGGTTATTAAGCTACGTGTACAACTCAGCAGCCTGGCTCCATTTCAAGCTTCAGCACTGTAGGACGAGTCCCAGAAATAAAAATATGAGACGCCCCATTTTGACCTCTTCCCATTTCAACTTACCTTTTAAAAGGCACAAACTGCAACCAGACTTGTCTTTCAGCACTTGGCCACTGGCCACATGTCAAAGCTTTCATTACAGCTGCGTTTATGAGGAGAAATAAAGTGTCCAGTCTTTGGCTGGAACAGCTGTTTGCTGTGACAGCCCATAGTCTGGTTCTGTTGCCAGTTAAAAAGTAAAGCTTTTCATTTCATCATGAAACCAATGAAACTTTAAACCCTACAAAGAGCATGAGCTCCTAATGCCTTTAGGTCAAAGCTGGTTTAGGGAGTTCGATGTCTTGTAGGGAAAGGCTTTAAGGCAGGAGACACAAATTAAATCTGAACTGTCACTTCCAAGCAATTATATTATTATTTAAATCTACCTCTATTTCTTCCCTGCCACAATTGTTCTTGGCTTAAAAACAAACAAGCTGATGAAGGAAATTATTTTCTTTGCTCCTTACAGGGTGTCAGGGATGTGCCATCGAGGTGCACACTCACAGGTTACTGCCGGTCTGCAAGTTAACGCTGAGTTCGCAACACGAGCGAACTCGAATGCTGCCCGTTTGGTGCTGGCGCCCGGAGCAGGCAATGTAGTGGGACACTCGCACATACACCGCCCGCCCAGGTGAGGAGACACGTCCCACGGCACCTGGCCGTTAGCCCGGGGAAGCGACAGCGGCCGCCGGGGGGGGGCCGCTGCCGGAGGCGGCACCGCCAGTTGAGGCCCGGGATCGAGCCCTCCCGCAGCCCCCGCCCACCTGCAGCCGCACGTTGAGCATCATGGAGGCGACGATGTAGAGGTAGGGGAAGTTGATGCGGAGCTTCCAGGCCAGGTCGAAGAAGATGAGCAGGGTCCTGGTCAGCCCCTTGCAGAACACCCCGTAAGACCGGGCCGCGGCCGACTGGGAGAGCCTTGCAGCCAGGGCCGACAAAACCGCCGCCATATACCCCCTCCCGCGGCCGCGCCGCCCGGGCCCCGTGGCCCCCTGCCCGCGCGCGGCGCTAGCTGTCGCTAGTGGGGCGGAGCCCTGTGACGTCATGCCGTGCGTACCCGCCGCACCGGGGCAGACGCGCTGACGCCCCGCCCTCTGCGCATGCCCAGAGGGGAAGGGGGGGGGCAGCAGGCTGCGGTCTCTGGAGGGTGGGGAGCACCCTGGGGCGGGGCGGGGCGGGGCGCGGGAAGGGGCCGCTCCCATCAGGGCTCTCAGCGGCGCGGCGCGGCGCGGCCCCGGGTGGTTGTTCAGCTGTGGGGCCAGGGCCTGCAGTGTTGCAATCGCCCGTGGAAAGCCGTTGTGAGAGTCCTGAGCTCCGCTTCCAGTTGAGGTAGCACCTCAAAGCGGGAGGGGACGCCCGATGGCTTGACCCGGGTGTGTGCTATAACCTGAACAAGAAAACAATGGGCCATCGATACTAATAAGGATTTCTGGGTTTGGGAGGAGGTTTGTAATGTTTTTTACAAAGGCTAAAGTGAGTTTAAAATACACTGGTCAAGTACAGATTACATGTAGAGTTTCATCGCCCTCCCTCTTCCCCAAACTGTTCTATACAGTTTCCATTCAACCAACTTTTAATAAATAAAATAAAGCAGAAAAAGAAATACGTTGCTCTAAACTCTTTGTAAAATTCCATCTCACTGCCACAAAATCAAGCAGGGGCACAGAGAAAGAATAATTCCAGAACAAAACTGGGAACCTGCCCAGCTTTTTTCTGTGATCCTTTTGCCTATAATACATTAGTAGCATAATAGAGTGGAAAATCCTGGAAAACCCTGTGTGTGTCTGGAAACTGTAAATAGTTTAGTTAAGGAAACTACAGGCACTACCTTGTGTTCTTGGGAATGGGACTATTTTAAGGATAGAGGGTGTTTCCAGAACTTGCCCCTGCCTGGTGTCAGAAGGGGTAAAGCATGTTTTTACATGGCAGAACCAGCCAGTGAAGCTATCCCTGATAAAGTTTTTAACCCCACCAAGTCTCTGAACAGACTTGAAGGAACACATCTGGATCTCAGGCCTCCAGATAGCTCCTTAGCATGAAAATCTCTGATCTACTTCCTTCAGACTCAGTTCTCCAGATATTGCAGGTCATTGCTGCAAGGTCAAGTAGGGCTGACTGAATTTCAGGCTGTGGACTTAAATGTTCTCTTGTAGCTAAGATTGTCCTACTGATTCTTACAAAACAAAGCACCAACCATCTGTTCAGATTAAAAAGGTTTCAAAAAGAGAAGTATCTCCAGACCTGGTTTCTCAAGAACTTGTCCATCTTCCACAGGGTGTTCTAGAAGAAGCAAAACTCTTCAGACTCCTCTTCAGCCACAAGACTTCTGTCAGTTCTTCTAATCACAGATGAAAGATCCTCCCTGACAGCTGGATTGATCTGTCCATGATTTCCCATCTTCCATGTGCCTGGGTGTCTTAGGCGTACCTGTACTATTCCAAAGAGGACAGATAACACGTCCAAAGAGGACAGATAACATGACAAAGATAACATGTCAGAGGACATGTTATCTGCACTGTTTTCATTATGGAGAACTTGAAATAACAGCTCTCACTGTCCCCATGAGTTCATTCAAAAGTATCCTTTGGGTTAATGTTACAGCAAGTTACAGGGAAAAAAAAAAGGCAGCCAGAAGCTATTAATATTTTCCATAAACTCCTAATTGCGCAGTGTCCTAACATCTGTCACAGTTTCCCAAAAACAGCTATAGTGCTGCCAGTGGAAAAGGAAGGTACACCACAGTCGTTTTACCACTGTGTGGTGTCCCCATCCTCCCTTCTACATCAGCTCAGCACATCTGGTTTGTGAAGACAGTAGAGATCTTTTTCCTCCTCATCTTAAGTTTTTAATAACCCTGTTAGTACTGGACGCACAGGAACTGAGGTGTGTCCAGGCCCTACACTGGAATTCCAAGGTAATTCAAATTCCCTATTTGGAAATTCCCTATTTTGGAGCTCCCAAGGTAATTCAATATTCCCTATTCAAATTCCCAGATTCAGTTCCCTCCCTCTGTGAGTACTGAGACCATCTCCTCAACAGCTAAGCACAAATGCCATTTAGCTGCCTCAGGACATTTAGCAGCTTTCCATGATTAAATTGGAGTGCAATGTGATACGCAAAGGTTACATCAGGAAGCTGATTAACTTGTATCAGTAGATGTCTGCCAGAGGCTCATCAGTTCTGGCTCATGTTGCACATTGAAACAGATGTGACACAGTATCAATTTTAAAATCTTCATAACCATGAATTACTTTTTACACTTGAATAGGCAATATAATTAATAAATTAGGTCATAATAACGGGTTAGCTTTGGTATTGATTTGGATCTAATTATTTAATTAAACAGTGAGATTGATAAAACACTCTTTAGCTTTCCAACAAAGAAAGTAAAGGATAATGCAACTGAATACCAATTGAAAAGATACACCAGATTTTATCACATCCAGATCTGGGAATTAGCTAATTATTTTGACAATGCAAACCTCAAAAACATCCCACACTTCCTCCTTTGGTGGTAAATCAATTTACAATTTAGCCAGAAGTTGGAGAAGTTCAAAACTACTGACATGCCTTTTGTGCCTGATCGCTGCAGAGATCATTTTCCATCACTTTAATGCCATCATCCCATTTTTGCTTCCTAACCCTGACTTGTTTGTTGCATCAGACAAGCACATCCTCATCTTTTCAAGTGTTTTCATGTTTTATCTTATTTTACCTAAAATTTCTTCTCAGGCATTCAAATATTCCTCTACTCAAAGAAAAAAAATATTAATAAAAAATGAGTCAACATTGCTGAGTTGTTACATTTTAAAATGTCTTTGTAAGCTTTTTCAACACATATCCATTATATTTCAAAGTAGTTCCTTGGAGATTTATGCAGAGTCCTCTGTTCCCCTTCAGGGCTCTTACCATACTTCCAAAAGAATAAAAAATTGGGCCCTTGATGTGCCTACCACATAGACCACTATTATCTAATTTTGCTTCCCTGTCTGCTCTTCACTTGGGATAGATTTATTTTGGGAAGGGACCTCTCTTTGCTCTGGAGCGTGACACAGAACAATTCTTATACTTGCAATCAGGTCTCCAGGGCTCTCTGTAAGAACTAATGACAACACAGACAAACTATGAGCATTTTGTATTTAAATGAGACAGAGCTTGGGATTATTTATCCTTACACCTCTTTTTCTGGTGCCTTTTTATATTCATTGCTATGTTTGCAAAAAATGATTGATAAAATGAGATCGTAATAGTAACTTGAAAAAGGGGAAAAGCCAAATACTTTAAAAATAAAACATTTTGTTCCCTTCAGTTCCTATGATCTTCTGTACTTTTTTTGACTTGAAGATCAGTTTAAAAAAAGCCAGATGGTTCCTAACAAGCCCCTTCTTGTGAGGGGGTTTTTTAGGACTGCAAGGAAACTTGTCACTAGCTATAGCAGGCTGTCTGCTGATGCCACGCTTGCCTTCCCCAGCAGTGATCTGCCTTGGCATTCTGGAATCCCAGGCACCCTCCAGAGAATTTATTGTCCCTGTTAACAAAAGTGTTCAGTTTACTCTTGGTTTGGGATGATGTCAAGCTTAGAGCCTCCTCTCTCCAAAATCTTTCAGAAAATTAAGTATATGACATACTTTTGATTCTAACAACAAGGTTTCAGCAAGTTACAGGTAGATACGTGGAAGGCTATTGACAATATGAACAACTCTTGCATAAGCTATTGAACACAGGTTGCACTGAGAAGCGTTGGTACCATTACACAGGCCATATCAAAAAGACACAAGACCTCACTGGAACCAGTATTTTTTTGTCAGTTTAATAAAGGCAGGATCTAACATTAAATCAAAGTACCAAGCTGCCAAAAGTAAGCAGATATAACAGTCACCCAACTGCATCTCTTGGTAAAACAGAAATAGGTGATTGACCAATGTCACCACTAACCTAGACTGTTTTGCAAATAGGACATCTCTATATTTAAGAAATGGAGAATAAATCAAACATCTTGTTTTGGGAACTCTTTCACAGAAATAGCAGCTTATCAGTATACAGTCAGTTGGGGGGGAAGTAATCGGTGCTAAACTATTTTGTACTAATTTATGATATTTAGTCCTCTTACAAGTTATTCAGAATTTCTACAATAGATCCAGTGAGAAACTGATTCCAGAATATATCACTTTTTGACAATTGTCTTATTTCTGTAACAGATGGACCTTTCTTTGCCGAATGCTGTGCTACATGAGAAGCCACTGATTTATATGATTCTATAAATTTAATTTCTGGGTTTGATCTAACATGATTTTTGAAGCTGTCTGGTTATTGGCTTGCAGCATGACAGCAAGAAGTAGGCTCCACAACACTCTCTCTGTCCCCAGGAAAACTGACCACAAAAGACTTGGTTCTTTTAGGCCCCAGCTCTCTTAAAGTCCATAAGCATGTATGCAAGCCTGGAGCAAAAGAAACACTAAATCTTTCTAAGCAAACCAAGTGGCCAGGTCAAAGCTTGTAGCCTTCCATCTTTACTTATGTGAAAAATGATTGGACAGAGGAAGGCAGTAAAACTAGTGATGTTGAATAGGCTTATCTAATGGTCAAACCTTTCTCCTTTGTCTTAGTATTTGAAGGCTCAATTTCTTTGAAATGTTTGATATCAAGAGATGTGGAAGTTGAAAGGAACTTGCAGCTTACACATCTGTGTAAATCTGTGTACTTCAGCAATGCCTCACCTCAAGGCATGATGTGATCCTTACAATTATTAAAAGTCTTATTCCCATATTTCTGCTGAGGGAGTTACAGCAGTAAAAAACTGAAGTGACTCAGAGAAGTCTCAGGTCCTTGTTTATAAATATATAATGATGTCTCTATTCCAAAAATCTTACAGCCATATAGAGGGATTACTGTACATAGTCCCGCTGCCTTCAACAACGGCTCTCACTGTAGTAAGCACTGTCTGTTACTGCTTGCTAAACCTGAGGGTAGACATAAGTGAATGGAAAGCCTTATGCAGTTTTTATGACTGAAATTCTTGACAGAGATACTTCTCAGA